CCATCATCCCCTACTCCCTCTCCTTCAAGCGTAGCAAATGAACACTTGTGAAGCAAGTGGTATCCAAATATTTCTTCAAGTCCAAACCACCTCCCCCTCTCTCCATCAATGGTAGCAAATGAACCGTTGTGAAGCCAAAAGGCCAAGATAGGGCACAATGAGGGCTCCTAGACTTCTTCATTGTATACCACATCTAGCACTGGCCCTGTAGGGACTGCACCATTCACATTGGAGCACAGGTGCTGCAAATTCAAAACGCCAATCATGTAGGGTCTTAAAAATGACGATAGTAGGAAGCAATGCTTGCACTTACTGTAGCCAACTCCTCACGCAATGCCTCACAACTGAAACTCGTACAAATATCCCTTCCACACCACTTCCGTTGTTACAACCTCATATATAACTGGTTTCAAGAATCCATAGAACGAAATTTCAAATTTCTTAGAACCAATTTTGCATTTTCCCACTGATACACCTTCTGAACCAACACATATCTCCTTCAGGTAGAAAATGCAGCGTGAAAACACACGGAAATAGAATACTTGAAAATCTGGAGAAAGTTCATCGTGAGAAGCTTTGGTTCTAAGATTCACTACCCATTTTAAAAAGGTATCTCGTCAGGGATCAGAGGATATGTAGCGATGGATTAGGTGAAGAATCTGGATTGCAGTAATGGCCCTGCAATGGGTACTGTTCGATTTCCGACAGCCGGTATTCCACTTCTAGAGGACATCCACGAGATCAGCGCATGGTACAGGGTGGAAGAATGGAGGAGCCAACCGCTCGACAAAATGCCAATGGAATGGCAAAAGGTCCTATAGCGATTTTCGGTGCTGTAGGAAAGCACCATATACGCAAATCACCCAAACCCTGCGCCAATCATGTGAGTGGCACGGTGGTGTCAACGTACATATTAGCCAAAAGAATAACGTGAAGCTAAGAGGAGGGATGATCACTGTTGAATAGCTTTGGCTCCGGGAATTCGAGCTGTTAACATTGTGGCCGTGTAATTTAATAGTTTGGTAAGGAGATAAAAGACAAGGGGATTTCACCACGGCACCCCGCCGGTTACCGATCGTGAGGGCCACAATATAGGAATTGCCTTGTTACACTGTTACAGTACTGGGTGAGGTGGTGTAGTAGCATGTGGCGCACTATCACAAGCGCATGGTCGTGGCTAGGATTCCAGAACGATAGCTGCCCAGTACAACTAAGCCTTCTATCACTGCCGGGTCGCTTGTTTGGTATCAAACTCGTTTGGGAGGGGTAAAATCACTGACTTGTACCTCGGCTAGCCATTGCAAATCACGGTACAGGCCACAAATGTATAAAACCACCACCACCACGATTCTGGATCGGGTCGCATCCCAAGAGAATTGACTGATGCTGGAGCCTTTATCCTCTTTTTACACTGTACTTGCACTTGTGATATCCATCAACTGAAGTGTAGCCATTTCAATTTGCTCGGGTGGCCGACATGACCACACAAAAGTCAGTTCTCAGAGGAGTCCTTATCATTCAAGTGCTTTGCCAAACTTTCTGAAGGTTTCCTATGTTTTCGGATTCTTGAAAAAACATTTGAATGTTTTGGACCAAGTTAATGATTTTCATTAATGCTGAATGCCCTGCGCCACTTCCCTTCAGCAATCCCTAGATGAGATTCACCTTATAGGTGCCTGTTCCCCCTCGTTCCATAGAAATACGTATATCGATGTGTAGTAATCGTAAACGAGCTGCTGATCCCCTCAATCCCTCCTGTCCCCTCCTCCTCCACTTCCTCGTTGATCAATAAATCCATCGCAGCCGCCCTTCGCAAACTCGGCCGTTGTAACAGAAAGATCGACGGTTTTTCGTTTGCCACCACCTACTTCAACGAGGGCTCGCAGTAGAGCTATATAGCCTTCCGATTTCGAAAGAAAGGCATTTGCGAAGTCGTACACAACGGGTAAAAGCCAACACTTTTGGTCGTTATGATGAAAACGTGGTTCAGGGAAGGGGGCACCGCTCTTCTTCAACACTAGGTGCCAGAGCGGTGAGAGGGAGTGGTAGCCAGCTCTGCGGGCTTGTAATGCTTTCTGAGCAGGGCTGGTATGCTAACACGCTACAGCTTGAAACTTTTGAAAATAAATGAAACAGCAACTGAATGTTTAATTCTTCCAGCACCTCAGCTTTTTGCTCGAGGTGATCATCCCACCCGGCGCTGCTCCCCTCTCGAGTCCCTCTTCCTAAAAACGTTCCCCCAGGCACCATTACATGCTATCAGGGCCGGTTATCCTACCTTCTCTGTGCTCTTACGATTGGTGTTCAAAATGGGAAGTGCATAACACCCCC